ATTGAAAGACGCATATGCGATGTTTAAAAGGTTCACTTATAAGTTGAGACACTCTGAGTTTATTCACTTTAAATGTATTATATCCGCGTAGTACTCCACTTTTGCGTTTGAAGTCATTACCCCCCCCCCCCCATTAGATAATGGGAAAATAATTTGCCGCATTACATAGTACACGTTGACTGATAGTAACTTTGTTTATTAAAAACACAATTTGGGAGAAATAATATCTCCAGAACCAATCTTCAAATTGACATGACTAGAGGACTCTTTAATATATCACGAATTGTAGATAAATTATACAATTACCATTATCATTAACTCTAAAAGAGGTACTTCATGATGAAGTGTCTTGAAAAAGTCGTGATTATAATTCCAGACGGTGTAATCAATCTCCAATTGTTCATTAAGGGGGTTCCTATAAATGACCGTGACTCATCGAACTATTGCATGGATACCTGCGTACAGCCCGGAACCTGGATACTAAACACACTCGACAGTGAAAAATCACGTCTGTTGAAGTAATAAAATGAATGGCGTATGTATTTATGTGCTTCTTAAAAATCGAGTCACATCATCGTTTGTATGAATTCAAACTCCGCTCACGACAGGCGATCTAATTGAATTGGTGGGTATAATACCAAATAGTTCGATAGGACAATATTACGTTCGTACTTAATTGTATAGTATTTATTTAACCGATTACAAAGATTTGGCTTGTATTTTCTGTTCAAATCCGCAGAATGATACATTGCGGTGTAAGAGACGATTATTCTAGACAGTGTGTACTACTAAAAATCATTAATTATACAGCGAAGGCATAAAATACGCAGAAATGTAATCGTTTTTTATTTTCTTAGCGGGAAATGTGATTACGTTCAATATTTATTCATTCTAGATTGATTTCACTCCGACGAAGGACAATATCTTTCCACAGCATGAAATGGAGATCATATTTATTTAACACGGATGCTTGATGCTGCTCATAATGGAGTGTGTTCCTTTCAATAAGTTGCGAGTAATTACATCTCCTATTACCGATGTTCTTTCGATAATCAGGTCAAGTAGTTAGAAAGCTTATTATGAGCAAATAGTTGAGTTGGATCACAACCGATACTGTTCACACAATGTGACGTGTGCTTCCTTGTCACTATTTTTCAAATCTGATACTGATATGATAACACGGTAATTATCTATATATCTATAAAATGATTCTGGCAGCGTATTCGCTGAATAATAAACAACAGGGAGTAGGGTACAACAATACAATGATGGCGGAAGTACATACCCCTTTCGGCCGTGACTCCTTTATGTCTATATATATAATACGCATTGATTTGCCTCATGCATTTTCATACATTCATAATCCGCATGATTACCGGCTGTCGTTTTGCATCCTTGGAATTGTGTGACACATCGATTTTAATTCGGTACGACGGCATACCTACTTCCCTCTGCGTGGGTCGCCCCCACACACGTATTAAAATTACGCAGGTGCGTAATATGTAGATGGCTAATGGTGTTATAAGATTTTCATCGCTAAATGTGGTAACAGTCTGTCTCTTTGAACAGGCTACTTCACTTCACTAAAAGGTAGAAACATGATTAGGTTTTACGTAGAGTGAACAAACTAAAACACCGTCGGGTGAAATGTACCGACTAATTGGCTATTAATATGGGTGAAAATGAGAAACCTTATGGTTTTACAATTAAACTCCCGAAGACCCCAATTTCAGTAATCGGATTATCGATTTCAATTCAACGTCAACTGACTAGGTCAAATCATTAATTTCATCAATCGATCAGCGATAAACATTCAATGTCAACAAGCTGTGCCAAGCGTCAATATCCTTGATCAAGTTAATGATAACCATTTAACGTCCACTGACTGGGTCATAACATTAATTTTGTCGATGAACTTGGCAATAAACATCCAACGTCAATACACTATCATGTAAATTTTATTAATCGACTAACGTTAAACATTTTTTTTTGAATAGTCTTTTTTTATCAAACGAATAAAGTAACGTTAAACAATTAATGTCACCTGACTAGGTCAAAACATCATGTCATCAATCGAGTAACGACACCCATTCAATGTCAACTAACTAGGCCAACGAATCTCAACTAAGGTTAAATATTCAGTGTCATCTGGCTAGGTGAAAGCATCGATTTCATCAACTGACAAACGATATCCATTCAAGAAGAAAAGCGTATAATAATGAGACGTTAATCTATATACTTGTACTTAAAGTCTCAAAAACGTTTTGTTTAAAAATAGTAGATCTTAAAGACCAACGATTGCCCTAAGGACACAATTAACTTTCCGACATGTGTGTGGTCATGGTCAATAACACAAATATAAGTTAATGCATCCACAGAGCCTAGAGTTTATTGTGTATTCAAGTACCGACAACTGACATACAGAGTCAATTATCAGTATTCGGTCTAGTTAAAAACAAGTGAAAGTAAAAATCGGATTCTGAAACTCATAATTTATATAGTATGTCTAAATGTACACTGTTATTGCAGCTTCAATCAAGCGGAACTAGAAGAAGAAAAAAACTGCACGTCACGTTGAAGCACTCTTCAATAACGGGGATATATTTTAGTCAATTAAATTGAGACGACTAGAGTAATATTCATGTCAGTAAATAACGATTAACTTAAAGAATAAATCAGTGCAGTATTGCCACAAGTAGGGCATGCTGTAATTACCACGCAGCCTCTGTAAGTAGTAACTTACGATGAGATATTCAGAGGTCCCATTAAGTCTACGTAATGGCAAATCTTGAATAAAAACACTGTATGTTTAACATGGTTCTAGGGTCCTATCAAAACGTGTCAAATATTCAAATTACGCAATTAACTTGCCGATATGGTATAACGTTTAATAAGATGCGTGATAAAAAAGTACGTTATATCTAACAGAATATAGTCGTACACATAGTATTGTTATTAAATATACAATTGCGCATGTATTATGTCATGAATTTATAATGCATTGCTTATTATAGTTTAAAATATTTAAACATTCTTGTAAGTCACGCACTTACAGAAGATGATAAATAATTTATTCAGCTCTATAGAATGACTGGGGTGTTTTATTTGTCTGTATTTAATCTCTTATCGCCCGCATCGGTGTATTCGTTCATTGCATTGTGTAATAATATCAATATTGAGCCAAATCAATGTTGTAAAAAGGCGCTGTGGTTATTTACGAGTGTTTAATATTTAAAACATTTTATATACCCCTCCTTGGCTCGCATTATTTGTTTTTCATCGATATTGCCTTTTATATCACTGAGTGCAAGATAACAGCATTGTTCAATGCACGTCGAGTATGAACTGACAAGCGTTCAACACCAGTGAATGGCAGCTATTTAATGAAGCGATACCATGTATAAATAACATTTTGCGTGTTGAAGTCAAAACTGTATTTTACACGCGTGTGAAGGCCATTGGAAACAACTGAACAATTGGGTTATCTACAATAGAATATAAAACAGCCCCAAAATGACGGTATGTGCGTGGGCATTGACATTTAAATTCCGATTCAGAGCATTTGTATGTACACGTAGTGCCTCATTGGTTTGAGCTTTATACTACGCCGACTGCAGTAACCAACATATGCTCAATTCAATGTTCTCACCAAGAACGACATGCGCACTTGTGTTGACATGAACGACGAATATAACGCACTCATTCTTTGGCTGTCATAAACAAATCAGACACTGTCTATTATCGAAACGTGCAGTGCAACAGAAACTTAAAAGTATGTTTTTTATGCATAGCCGGTTACAGTCAATAATGGAATATTGACGTTATTGCCTGCTTTGTATGATCAACGTGAAAAAGAAAGGCGACGAGTTGATTTTATTTCCGTACATATAAATATGTTCATTAAAATAGTTCAGATAAATCAATGTGCCAGGATTTCTACGGATGTTAACATCTTCAGTTGAGCTCTTTGGTTATTACTTGTAATCTCTTCCGATGGTGACAGAAATAACGATAGCTTGGCTTCATGCATGAATAGATTTTGCAAACTTGTTTTTTTCAGCATATGTACATATTAAAATATTATTACGCAAATTTTCTCTGTTTACTCAATCATTTGAAATACAAGTTGTTATGATGATAGGTTATTTCTTATATATGTATTTCTGTGTATTTAATTTGTAAAACAAATAGGTCACTGGGTGAATAACATTGGATGAATAATGCACGGTTAAAAAATAATGAGACTCTACTCGAATCGAACAAATGTGACCATCACTTGTGTTAAGTGTGAGTTGATTGATGAGTTGCAATGGCCTGCGAACAACTGGGTTGATATGTTTTATAATTCGTGCCTGGTATTCGTTTTTTTTTCTTTGTAAATATGGATGGTAATGATGTGTGTTCTCGCATCAACTACTGCCATTTCAAGTCAATTATATCCCAGACGACTGACCTTTATCATGTAATATTAACAATAGGTCAATGAGGTCACCGCGTTTTTATAAATTATCTCACTGTTTCGTTTAGAAGAGTTTGGAGCTGTCGATGTCCTGATCATTCCATGAACTTTGACCTGTTTCTATGAGAGATTCGCATACGTCATAGAGTGTGTTCAACGACACCAATTACTCTTGTCAGTGTGTCATGTACTTGTGTGCTCTTTAAAGAATATACCCTGGGAAATTAAAGTAGAAGTACGTATCTTAATAGGTTGGACGAACATCAGTCACAGTCGGTTCATCCGTTCTATACAATGATTACCCGGGAAATACGAAAAATTGGGGATGTCTTCTTTCTTTATTCGAACAACTGAGCCAATTACCGCTTTTCTTCCTCGTCACAAACTGCCCTCGGTTGTTCGGTATATGTACGTGAAGAGAGCACTGACGTATATAAGTAACATTTTAAAGAAAAGGGGGCATTGGCCTTTATAGTCGTGACGCTGGTTGGAAATACACACTAATTGACAGCATCCATGTTCTTCGTTACACATGCAGACATTAAGTATGTGGATGCATTTGAGATTCATTATCAAATTTGGCACTTGTGGCGTCTTTTGCAAACAGTGCCTTATACCCGGTGCGTATTTGTTTGTTTCTCAGGCCGTATATTATAGGGTTGACACACGAATTACAGAACGCCATCAGAACGAACAGTTGAAACACTTGGCTGGCATGGTAATGGGTGAAATATCCCAGCGAAAAAAGCAGATAGCACACCTGGTCTGGCGCCCAACACGCTGTAAATATCATGACAACCAGAAACAGAGTTTTCACCACTTTCTGGCGAGCTCTCAGCAATGACAGCGCAGGGCTGTTGCGCGATGTGTTCTTTTTCAGTAAAATGGCAGCTTGTTTCTTCATCGATTTAAAGATTCTTGTATACACTACGATCATGGTGGTGACGGGTAGAAAAAAAGTAACTATCAGGTTAAAAACACCGTATATAGACTCGAAACTGGTGTCGGTGCGTATGATCTCACACTGTCGCGTGTTCTCTGCATTGGTGTTGATGAAGAGTATGAACACATTGAGTAATAGGGCAAAGACCCAGACAAGCGCAACGACGAGCTTAGTGCGCTTTCTCGTAAAATATCGGTTATACCGTCCGGGGTGCATAAGAGCGTAGTATCGCTCAATGGTTACAGCAACGAGATTGAACACTGATGCTTTTATAGATACCCAGAGTAAAAATTTAGACCAGATAAATCGACAATACAGTTCCCCAATCAGTCCTGGAGAGATGCTTGTAGGCACTGGCAACGGCACGATAACCACCGATGTTATCAAATCAGCTGTAGCTAAGCTCACCAGAAAATGGTTCGTTATGGTCCGCAGTTTTGGAAATCTGCCAAACGCCGCACATACTAAACTGTTACCTATGATGCCCGTCACTGCGAAAACACATTGACATACCTGTAACCAGCTCCATGGTCTAATATCGACATTGATCGGGTTAAACGACGTGGTGTTATTATACATTGCCATAGTCCGCGTTCATAAATCGTTCGCGTTACTGCTAGTCAATGGATACACGCTGGGTATAAATATATGCTGTTGAGCTCAATCCATGTGCAAACCCACAGTGAAGCCGTTCACAATACTTTACGTAACAGGCTTTAGTGAGACAATTCACGTATCCATGGCGACAGAACTGCTGCAATCAATCAAGAAATCTATAAAATACTGCTGATTAATGATTTTTAAGGTCGGTGAAGCCGGTTCAATAGCGTCAGTCATGCATCGGATTGTCTTAAAGCGGTTTGGTAATTAGGTGAGTTACCTACACTCCCGACGATTCGTGACGAAGCGGCAAATGCCGAATGTGAACATCAGGAAATGGTTGTCTCCCCGTGGTGGAAAATATATCAATATGTTACTTCTGTTTTCAGAAAAAGCTATTCGTTTTTTATCTGATTAATTGTGGAATCACGTGGGCACAGCTGGCGATCTCATTAGTGTATACACGCAGCAGTTAGTCCGTACGCGGTATGTTATCTGCTCCAGTCCAACATATTGACCTGGCTGTACGCACAGTTTCGAATCCTGTTCAGATTTTGTTTTAAAAATGATTTTTATTGAAAGAGTACTCTTTCTTTCATCCAATAAAGATATCTGTAAAAATAGATATTTATGATAAGAATTTATCGATCACGTGGTATCCACCGTCGATATCAAAGAATTTTATCAAAAGCATGTATTATTATCAGAGAATGATGCAACCTCTACTACCTTGTATCGGAGAAAGATTTTTGGATACTTGAGAATTTTACAATGTATCTAGATTATGGGTTAATAGACGAGAAGTATATCCTCCAGGTTATTATGGTATAGCTTTCATCGAACATAAATAGGATGACGTCAAAGATCCAGTCAGAATACAGATTGGCTGGCGTATGAAATATTACAATTTACAGACTACTTAAAACACCATCTGGGAGTGTTTAACTATTGAAATTGACACTATTTTTAACTTGCTAATTTGAATATCATTTTCGCTACACACAGTATTTATGGGATTTCTAATATTTGCACGTATTTTAGAAAGTTAAAGCGGTGCCCTGTTTACGTAGAGTATGTTGTTTGCACGGGTTTTATGGAAATGTAATATAGTCAGTTCCGAAATTAACTATGGGAATTCTTTTATGTTTATGAATTCATTACATTATTGAATTCATTTTGTTGTTTGCACTTTTAAATATCAAATAGAACTTCATGTCCTCTAAGTGGATCATTCGACAAAACCAAAAATTGCGATCCATTCTATGGTTGTTCATCAAAAGCTGAAAGGTTATTGTTTCCATGGCCATTATACATGAATATTCCAAACAAAGTCTTGTCGATATGTTTGAAAATGGTTGTATTATACCATGCAATGTGATCTCGAGGTGCCGTTCATGATTTGCCAGTAATGGCACCATGTTCAATGGTTCATATACACACAGTTTAAGAAAGAATTGTACATATGCACTATCACGTGATTGTGTACAAATAAAAAAAATATCAGTTTGTATCATTTCGCTATTACGGAGAAAATATATGTCGTTCGATAATGGAACAGTGACAACTTCGTGTATTTAATTAAATGAGCCAAATAAAATAACGGGGATACACACACAAACTCAAAAGAAAGTCATAGACAAAGTCGACAGTGATTATTCTTTGACGACACATCCTTGTCAATACAATATTATACCGACCGTACTGTTAATAATCGTCCAAATATTTATGCAGTAAATAAGCAATAAATCAAAATACTGTGCGCTGCTCGATATGTTGTACTGTCGAGCTGAATCAATTTCCGGTGTATTTAGAAATGATTTGTCTGAACGTGAAAATGAATGAAATATGAGTATGTGTATATAATCGCAATTTGTGTACTTTGTCACATAAAACATAATTATAAAATATGACATTTAAAGCACACACGGTAACCGTATTGTACTGACACTTTAGTGAACACGGTTTTGTTAATAAAATGAGATAGAAACTCTATATTTTTTTACTTTGCTTGTTATGAAAATATGCCTCTTACTCTTACAGTGAACTCATTATACATCATCTCGAAATAAGTTACTTCGTGCTAGAGTGTATAATCATAATGTCCGTCGCATCGTGCGCGGATACGTCATAATTGGTCCTTATGTGTACAACTTTTTTGTAATATTTTAATGCGATATAAAATATATTAGTTGCCTGTATATCTTGGCTGAGGTTATCTTTAAAGCAAATGTACGATTAATAGTATAAGAATGTTTATCCTTTCATTTTCAGATTTACAAAATGTATGATGAGTACAATCTGGTCTCAGGATTGAAGTGCGCCAACGCACGATATGTCGGATCACACGATGTGAGTTTTCATAGCCGCACCTGGAAAATACCCACAATCCTATGCGCTCTGTACTAACATACCCTACATGGTTGGTAAATAATTGTCGAATATTACTAGTACACAGGAGTGTTTCGAGATGATGCATACATTCCGTAGACATATCTTTTGTGCTTTTGTTTTTATTGTTTTCTGTTCTCCAAATAGCTGAATATTATGGCTTGTTGCGATGACAGAGTAGTACTGATTTTTATCAACAATATGCCAAATTTAGTTCATAACTATGTTACAGTAAATAATTCGTTGGTGACTATGAAAATCCTTACTCCTGGTTTTGTCTTGAATGGATGAAAATGACAGCAACTTTATAATCTTTATATCTATACTAAATTTCAATATTCTGGTCATATATATTGCAAAATAACCTCCTTGAGAATGCAATAGAGTCCGACATACTTGAATGCATCTCTGTCAGAGGTTTTTGAGTCTGTGGCAGTTCTGTCGCCATGGATACGTGAATTGTCTGGCGAGTTAACACTAAAGCCTGTTACGTAAAGTATTGTGAACGGCTTCACTGTGGTTTCCACATTCTGGATATGGTCTCCCTTCGTGCACACTCATTCATAGGGCTGCATACAAGTTGTTTTATAAATGCTGTTCATTTCAGAACTCATTACAGACATTTACAACTTCTATTTAACACGTCAACATTTTCATCCTAGGCTCTCGGCACCGATGTTGGTGGTAACACACTGATAGCTGATGTGATATCGCTGGCAATTTGTCTTCGTTATATCCTCTTTCTGTGATATGATGTAGTCAGATGGCTGAGCGCACGGAAAACATATTTGTAAATTAGGAAAATAAATTTGAAAAAAAAAAGATCAATACAAATTGAGAAAGCGCATACATTGGCCACATAGAGCGTTAAAGTGTTATCTCACTCTGCTCCTCGCACGGTATAGTATCCCCCATGTAGCGTTACATCGTGTTAATTACTAGCTCATGTTCTATTGCTATAACACATGATCGAGAATAAAGAATCCATTACGTAACTCTGGACGTTGGGGCTGAAGTAAATAATCAGCTGGACTATACATTTTGCCAACTGAATCAACATCCAGTCATTGTAGCATACACTACCCCTGGAATAGCAGGGTCAAATACTGCATCGAATCAGGAGTAGAACACTTTGATTAATTGACAAGGTATTGCAATACATATCATTATAGTAACAAAGTAGCTCTGTGTCAATATACCATGTATCTACTAACACTAACGTACGTCAGTAGTAATCTTCTTCATTGTGTAGTTTGAGTTCTTAACTCCCGATTCAATCTTAACCGATCTAGTAGTTAAAAACATGCAAATTAGGGGGGACATGATTAAGAAGACTTGCTATAAAAAAATAATATACATATTTATGCGTTACTATATCAGAAAAGGCAACATACTACGTCAGTAATTGAAGACGACAGAGAGCACAACGGTTACGCAATAATACACACTGGTAAATAAATCTACACCACATGAGGTCCGTGACTATATATAATCACGATCGTTATGATACGCCATAGCAATCGTCTGTATATTTATGGTACTCGCCTAGCCGCTAATCACCCCCACATCAATGCATCTCATTTTATTGTGGCTTCAGAAGCAACAAAATTATAACGATTCTTCGTGCACATGTTTTTGCCTGTAGGGATTATGCTACACTTAATCACACTTCTGGGGCTTGATGGTTGCAAGTAAAGGCTAAATACTTACCCTTATAAAACGTTTGTGGCGTCCATGTTGTTTGAATGTCAACATAATATTAATCTTTTTATACATATGTCACTATATCTCGATAGGTTACGGCGTGCCGTAATTTTGTGGTATTGTACAGGGGGTATCGGCATCCTACTTTATTAGGAAATACGAATTCCAAATATGGAATGATTACTCGGTATTTCCAAATAACAGACATTAAATGGCATGGCAAACGGCTGGATCAGGAAGATTCAAAGATTTGACTGAATTGTATAGAATAAGATCAATACCTATGTGGCCTATTAATTGGAAGCTGACAGTATATCAATGGAGATTTATTTCCACTTTTTTGTATTCATATTTTTATTTTTGGTTTTGGGCTAAGATGATTTACTTTCATTTTTTTAAAGCAAAATTGCGATGTGCATACATCAACTGTGGTGCTGGAATAGTAGTACTGATTCAGTTGGATACGCCCCGATATAGATTATCTATGGCGTCGAGTCTGTATACTAATATATCGAGTTGGAATTCGCTTCAGGACTCAAATTGAATTATTATTTAGAAATATGTGTTAACATTTATTTTTGTTAATTTCTTTTTCTACAATCATTATTGTTGTCTATGTTGATTACGGTTGTGGTTCAATGTATTACTAACAATTCGCCACATATCATGACGAACCAGTTAGCCACTGAAACGTATCAATCAATCAAACATATTAAATATCCTGAATATTTGGTTATTTGGCACGCCGTAATATTTCCTGTTTTATTATTTACATTGAAGTGCTTGCCATAATTTCTATTTTAGGTACGATATAATTGTATTTTGTTTTTATTTACATAGATTCGAATTTACGGACCAAACACAATAATGACGATGGTTTACCACACACGTAC